TGCTTCCCTTTGTTTGGTGACGCCATGACTTTGGAAATGATTCCTCAAGGCCTCCTATTTGCTGCAAATACACTTTACTTTGTGAGACAACTTCCACTGGTGTAGAGTCTTATTTAACTCACCAGGAGGCAAGCCCACTTGGTTCGGTATCACTTCCAGTGGGATTTACCCCGACCACTTGATTAAGATCACAACCCTCCATTTCCTTTCCATCTAGTATCCTTTATTATTCTTTTTGTAGCATGTATTACTTACTAATATACTATATAATTTATTTACCTATTTCATATATTCATTGTCTGCCCCATGAGAACATAAGCTCTCTGAGGACAGGCAGTGGGGGTCCATCCACCTCCCACTTTTGCTCTGTTTTCATCATTGTTGTATCCCTAGTGCCTAGAATAGTGCCTGGCACATAGTAGGTGCTTAATAAATATTTACTGAATGAACAAATGGACAGTTATTATCCTATTTGATTGTTTCAATGGCTGCAGGGGTCCACGGCGTGGATGAGGTAATAATAGCATAGCAGTGGCTAACACTCCTAAGGCATATCTAATACAGTCCTTTATGAATTTAGCTTTATGAATTTAGATTCATTTAAACTTCTCAACAACCGTATAAACTAGATTTGATAATCACTCCCATTTAATAGATTATAAAACTGCGGTTTAGACAGATTTATTAAGTTGCCCACATCACACAGATAATAAACGGTCACGCCAGTCTGGCTACGTCTTGAACTAACACATTTAACTTCTGTGCCAAACTGTTGCACAATGGGTTTACTTAACCAGTGTCCTGCAAACGGACACCATCTTGTGGTTCTTAGATGAGGCATACAAGGCTCAGAGAGGTTGAGAAGCTTGCCCAAGGTCATACAGCTAGAATTAAGTCTGTCAGCTCAAATCCTGGGTCTGAATTCTCAATCACTACATTTTGGACCACATCCCGAAGCTTCTGTCTCCCTCAAGAGGCGATAGGGTCAGGAGGGCTTCCCAGGTGGCTTGCTTCTGCCCCTTGCAGTGCCCTTCCTCCCCAAGGCCCCCCTCTACTGCACTTCCTCTTCCCGACCTGGAACCCTCTCGCCGATGGCCTCAGGCCATTGATGCACAATAGCCCACTGAATCTCCTTTTTTTTTTTTTCCCTTTTGCTCCCCAAAGCCCCAGATAGTTGTATGTCATAGTTGCACATCCTTCTAGTTGCTGTATGTGGGCCGCCGCCCCAGCATGGCCAGACAAGCGGTGCGTGGGTGCGCGCCAGGGATCTAAACCCAGGCGGCCAGTAGCGGACCCCGCGCACTTAACCGCTAAGCCACCGGCCAGCTCCGCCCACTGAATCCCTTAATGGTCCATCCTCCTCCCAGAGGGAATGTAGATGTCTCCAGGTCCCTGTTCTGGAGTTCCCTACCCTTGCCCCTCTCACCTCAGAGAGGCCAGGGTGGGCCTGGGGGTCTTACCTGACATTCGTTTCTTCAGTCTCTTCTATTGAGCACTTCTGCATGCAGGGCACTGTTAGAGGCAGCTTCACTTCACCTGAATCCAGACAGAATCCAGACTCTCAGCCAGTATCATCTACTATTGTGTTATGGGATCCAACAGTGAGCAGAGCACAGTCTCTGCCGTCCAGGGGCTCCCAGTCTAGTGGTGAGACCAACATTAGGCAAGGACTCTTACTCAAGTAAGAGTCCAACTGTGATTACCAGGTACGAAGAGCTAGATGGCTGAGATGCCAGGAAAGAACCACCAGCAAGAAATGGTGGATGGGTTTTAGCAAAGAGAGGGAAGAACATTCCAGATAAGGAAAATGGGACTGTATTTCTAAAGGTCCTAGGGACAGCAGGGACCACAGGATGCCAGGATGGCGGGGGCAAGGTGAGGGGAACGTGGTGGAGATGAGGCTGGGAGGCCTTGGCCTTGTCAAGGAGTTTTGGCTTTATCCCAAATACAGTGGGAGGCTAATTAAGCTGGATCTGATTTGCATTCTGAGGACAGTTCCTGCTGAAGAGTGGAGAATGGACTAGCCAGGACTGGAGGGGACAGACAAGTGGGGAAGCATTGATGGGCTTTTGTCATTGAAAGAAAGGGAGGAAGTAGAGAATCTGAGAAATATTTGGCAAAAGGTCATGCTCCTTCCTGGGGTCAGCCTACACCCAAAGGCTGGTTGATTGGGCAGGGGTGGGGTAGGCAAAAAGGCCTGCTCCCTGGTTAAGGTGGGATAGCTCTGAAGGGTGGTTCTAGCTCTGGAGCTCCCTGGGGGATGACTAAGATCTTAAAACAGAGATAAAAATGCAGAATTTCCCATTCTCAGTGGAGAGGAGGCTTGAGGCCAGGACCTTCCTAGGGTTCCACAGAAGTGTGAGCAGGTCCCTGGTCCCACCAGTGCATGGGGAGGATTCTGCTCTACCCTGGGCAGGGGTCCCACTCCTCAGAACTGTCCCTCCCCCTCACATCCCTCCCACCTCCAGAAGGACAGTGAGCCGTGGTGGGGGCGCCTCTTGGCCCTCGGATGCTGGCCCTAGCTTTCCCTTTACTTGCTCTGTGACTTTGGGCAAATCCCTTTCCCTCTTTGAGTCCATTTTTTCACTAGTAAGACAGGAAGTTGGAGTAATCAGTCACTCTTAACTTTTCAGGCAGATCACAGAGCCTTTGAGAGTTTGTTGAAAGCTATGACCATTATGGGCATAATTTGTGGCGGCCACAGGGTTCCTGAAGCCCTAGGGTAGGGTGGGGTGGGGCCTCAAGTTAAGAAACCTTGGATGAGACAGTAACAAGCCCCATTTCTGATGGCCTGCCGAGGACCAGTCTATCATCCTGTCCTGATCCTCACCATAATCCTTTAAGGCAAGCATTACATTCCCCATCTGGAGCTCAGAGATAGAACTTAACTGACTTGCCCACGCTGGGAGGAGCTGAACTAGGACTCCCAAGCCAGGTCTTTCTGAAGCCAAAGACCATTCTTCCTAGCAATGAGAGTCATCTCTGCTCTCATCCTTTCCGGATCCCCACCACACCCCCATGACACCATACATTTTAGACTTCATAACCACCACTTTTTTGCAGTTTGAGGTGCTCTCAAGAGGCAAGGATTACCTTGTGAGGTAAGATGGAGGACCTGAGGCTCAGAGAGGCTAAGTGTCCTGCAAGGTCACACAGCAAGTGTGGGGTCTAGCTGAGAGGTGAGACAGCGGACATGTGTGATCACTCCTGAAGTCCCAGTGTGGACAAGCCTCACCTAGTTGCAACTTGAAAGACCAGAGAGAAGGGTTGGGGGAGGTTGTAATTAGGGGACAATGGCAGGCCCCTAGTGCTGGGCCTTGAAGAATGGGCTCAAGTTTGGTCAAAGAGTCTGTCACCCCTAACAACTTGGTTCTTTTATTTATTTATTTATTTTTTTGAGGAAGATTAGCCCTGAGCTAACATCCATGCTAATCCTCTTTTTGCTGAGGAAGACTGGCTCTGAGCTAACATCTATATCCAATTTTCCTCCTTTTTTGTTCCCCAAAGCCCCAGCAGATAGTTGTATGTCATAGTTGCACATCCTTCTAGTTGCTGTATGTGGGACGCGGCCTCAGCATGGCAGGAGAAGCGGTGTGTCGGTGCCCGCCCGGATCCGAACCTGGGCCGCCAGCAGCGGAGCGCGCGCACTTAACCGCTAAGCCACGGGGCGGCCCAACAACTCGGTTCTTTCATTTCTCCCTGCTCCAATTCGAGCTATTCCCTCTTCTCAAACCCGTCAGAATCTTCCTTATTTTCCAAGGCCAGCTTAAATTTCTGCCTGAAACTTTGAGCCCTCCCTCCCCTCATTCATTTTTCCTGCCTGGGCCCGGGGTGAGACGTCCTGGAGCTCTTGGAAGGCAAGATGCTCCCCTACTGCCCCACAGGGCTTGGGCAGGGCAGGGTGGGGTTCGGTGAATCAAGGGCGCTGAGCCGGACGCTGACCTGCACCCCCAAAGGAAAGGGTCTCCTGTGAGTGTTCCACCCTTATCTTTGATGCTTCTAGTCCTTCCCCTTTCCCCCTCGGTTAAAGGGGACCCAGAGTGTGAGCTGCTGGTCGACGCCCTAAGCCTGAGAAGGCCCCTGGGTGTTCATGTCCCCAGCCCAGGAGCCCACATCCTGGGCGTGGGTCTGTCTCCTCGAGGGAAGAGAGATGATCTCATTGACTGTCTGTATCCCGCCCCCCGCTGCAGTTCCAATGAATTATGTTGGGGGAGGGGGGCTGAATACGGCTGGGGGTACAGAGATGCTTTTGATGAATGAAACTCAGTGGCTCCATCACTCCCAAAGGACAGGCAGGAAATGCCCACACCACGACTCCTCTCGCCCCTTTAAAAAGTAAAACCCCTTGCAAGGGCCGCCCTAAACCCAGTCCCGCGCCCTCCGTCCCCACGCTCCACAGCCGGAGCCCCGACACAAACAAGCACCAGATCGCCAGGCGGGGAAGGCGCGGCGCCTTTAAGAGGCGGCGGGCGGTGCTGCCCCCTGGCGGCCGGCGCGGCCGCGCTTCCTCCGCCCCG